CAGTTACTTGACGATTGGAGGCTATGACTGACTAGAAAGGAGCTTGAGGGAATGTTCTAAGGTATGGCAGTATTCTTAGAGCTTTGTGCAATGAAAGGAAATGTCTATATTTGAGCTGCCCAGTAAGTGGCTTTCAGGTCTCAACTGAAATATCTACTCTGCTGAAAGGTTTCTCCCCACCACAAAAACCTGAATCTAAAATGGACGTACTACTTTACAACCCTGTTTAATTTTAATCACTTTAAAATTAAATCACCCCCAGTGGCTAGTGGCTACCATACTGGATGCCATAGTTCTCTATCCTGATAAGAGTTTGGGCTCCATGGAAATATGTATTTTTCAAAACTCCTCTAAAACAAGCCACAATTTGTGCGTTTCACTATATGTAAAGTTCACATTAAAAAAAAATAAGCACTAGTGGTGCAAGTGGTTAAAGCATAGTCTCACGAGGCTTTGGGCAGCCACTGCACCATGAGTTCCATCTGGGGCCAGGGAGGTGACCCTCATTGCAAGGCAGACTGTGGGTCCTGTCCCATCCACTGGTGATGGTTATACATTTAAATGAATTTAATGGCAATGAAATGGACACTTAAAATACTAAAATGGCAAATTTTGTATTGTATATACTTTACAATTAAAAATAGTTTAAAAGCTGGCCCTCCCTGGTGGCGCAGCGGGTTAGAACACTGCACTAAGAAGCTGAAACCACTTCTGCATGAGTTCGATTCCCGCCTGCCCCGGAGGTGACCACATGGTGTGGCAGACCTCTCCTGACCCACCCGCTGCTCCCCTCAGCAGTGTACTTCCTCCATCTGCTTGTTCTGCTCCCTACTCTGTCTCTGGTGAAGCCTCTCACCTCCCCTGAGCCTCTGGCCTGTACCCCAGTTCTGTATGCACAAATAAATAAATCTAAAAAAAAAAATTAATAAAAAAAAAAGTTTAAAAGCTAAGAGAAAAAAAATTGAGGAGAAACTCCATGTGGAAGTCTCTGTGCCTTCTCTACAGTCAGTAGTACTGCACAGAGGAAAGGGGAAAGACACCTATTTTTTGAGGAGACAATAGTGGGAAGACAGATTACTTTTGGAAATAGACCTAGGTTCATAATCCTATTTCTTTCACTTTCCATCTGTTGAACTATGTTTATTTCTTTTTTTTATTGATGCTGTAACAACTTACCACAGATTTAGTAACTTGAAGCAATACAAACTCACTGTCTTGTCCTACTGGTGGTCTGAAATGAGTCTCATTGGATTAAAATCATCAACTTTGTTATTCCTGGAAACTCTAAGTAAGGATCTACTTTCTTGACTTTTACAGCTTCTAGAACCCTCTTCTGTTCTTTGACCTGGCTCATAGCCCTTTCCTTCATCTTCAAAGCCAGCAGTAACATCTACAAATCCCTCTCCAGCCCTGCCCCCACCACACACACCCACACATACCTCTGCTTCCCTCCGATTCTGCTGTCTCTTTCTCTTCTCAGAACTTTTGTGATTCTACTGGGCCCACCCAAACAGTCCAGGATAATCTTTTCATCTCAAATTCCTTAACTTATCACATCTGCAAAGTCCCTTATGCCATGTAAAGTAATGTTTTCACCAGTTCTAGGAACTAAGCCATAGACATCTTTGAGGGAAATGGCAGTGCGTTATTCCAAATACTACAATGACTAAAATTTTTCTTTTTTTTTAAGATTTATTTATGCACATAAGAACTGGGCTACAGGCCAGAGTTGTGGGTGGTGAGAGGATCCATCAGAGACAGAGTGAGGAGGAGAACAGGTGGATTCATGGGATACACTGCTGAGGGAAGCAGTGGGCAGGTCAGGAGAGGCCTGCTATGCGCCATGTGGGTCACTGTCCTGGAGGGGGATTGAACTCATGACGTGCTGCAGTGCCTGCTGAGAGCCTCATGCTATTTTAACTCCTTGTGTCACCAAGAGGGCCCGACTAAAATTTTTCTTAACATAAGGTATTCCTGACACTGGCACTCATATGTCAAGAGAACACTGAAGAGAAAAAATATTTCTCTTTTTTCCCAGTCAGTTTTATTGATAAGTAATTCACATTCCAACAATTTGCCCATTTAAAGAAAACAATTCAATGGTTTTAAGTGTAATCACAGAGTTGTGTGATCATCACAATATCATACTTCTCTTTTTTTACAGTTGAAGAAAGAAAGGTTTATCACATTAAGGAAGCTTGCTTGGAATAACATCTAAGCCCAGCAAGGTGGAGACAGGTATTGCAGTGGCTATTAGGAGCTGAACTGCAGTCCAGGCCTGACTCCTTCCATTAAGTTAGATCATTCACCTGGGAGCAGTGTGTGTAGTAATTAGGCAAGCAGATACTTAGTGTTAGGCCAGGTTCGACTTGGGTCCAAACCTCTTAGAATCTTGGTTTTCTCATCTGAAAAATGAAGGCTATTCAATAAGAGGGAGTTAGACTCAGCTTTTTTGTAAGATTCCTTCCAGCTATGCTAAGTCTAAGCTTCAATGAGGAAATGGAAGGTGATTAAAAATAAGTTTCCTAACTGTTTGGAGGTTTCTCAAACTGCTAAAAATGGAGCTTCCATATGCCCCAGCAACCCCACTCCTAGGTATCTACCCAAAAGACACAAAAACACTGATTCAAAAAGACACCTACACTCCCATGTTTATTGCTACTTTATTTACAATAGGAAAGACATGGAATCAACACAAATGCCCAAAAGTAGATGACTAGATTAAAAAAGACATGGTACATATACACAGGAGAATATTACTCAGCAATCAAAAAAGATTAACATATGCCTTTTGCAGCAATGTGGATGGAGCTGGAAGGGATCATGCTTAGTGAAATAAGCCAGAAAGAAAAGGAAAAACACTGGATGGTTTCACTCCTAGCAGGAGTATAAAGGACCAGGGGAGAAAATAATAATAATAATAGTAATAATGAACAACTGTATACCAGAGACATTTTACAGAGGTGGAGTGGGGTATGGGATCAAAAATGGGGGGGAGAGAGAAGTGCACTGGACTATGGTGATGGCACATGGGTGATTTGGTGATGGGAAGCCCATGGGGATTACAACTGAGATGGAAAAAGGCACAAAATGATGTAAAAATAAACTATTATACTAAAAAATATATGTTTCCTGAGTATTCACTGCAACAAGAAAGGTAAGAATTCTGGGCCATCCCTAGCTATTACAGCATGAGTTCCATCCTTAGCCAGGGAGGTGACCCAGATGGCACAACGAACATCTCCTGTTTGGCCCACTGCTCCCCTCAGTAGATTATTTCAGTAGATAGCCTCTTCTTCACCCTACTCTGTCTCTGATAAATTCTCTCACCTTCTGCCTGCGCCCCAGTTTTTTTTATTCACTTATACATACAGAAATGGGGTACAGCCAGAGGTGCAGGGACGGCGAGAGCATTCACCAGAAACAGAGTGGGGAGCAGAACAGGCAGGTCGACGAAGTACACTGCTGAGGGGAGCAGCGGGTGAGACAGGAGAGGTCTCTTGAGCCATGTGCCATGTGGGTCACCTCCGGGGCTGGGGATCAACTCGCAGTGAAGAGGCCACGGCTTGGCTTAGCTTCCTGTGCAGCGCTCCAGCCTGCTGCGCCACCTGGGAGGGCCTACATTCCAGTTTTTATTTGCATAAATAAATTTAAAAAAAAAGGAATTCCTAGAACACAGAGGTTGACATCTCCCTTAAACATTCTGAGCCTCTGATGAAAATGGTCTCAGAGCTCCTTACAGGTGGGCCTGAGCTGGATGGACAGACATGTATAAAAGGGATCTTCTAAAGGCAGAGAACACACCTGGAAGACAGAACCATACCTGGGAAGTAAGGGAGCAGGGGCTACAGAAGTTGCAGACCTTCAGGTGGTTGCCCTGGCGTAGGAAACGGTCTCCAGTGAGGGGAAACCGTTGGGAGGGACCAGAGGAAGTTCGTCCCCACAGCCAAATTCAGCTGCTGGGGTAAGACCTGGAGCAGAGGGCAAGGGTATTGGAGAGCCGACTTTGAATATAAATCTCTAGAGCCGCGACGGGTGACACGACACCAAGCACTACTCAGACGCAGCACCCTACTCCCACCACAACTTCCAGTCCACGCGATTTGGTGGGCTTCCCGGCCTCCATAGGACTCCTTCCTCCCGCGAGCGATTGGTACAGCCCAAGCGCTGGGAGTCAGAACCCGGCGTAGACGGGCGGTCAGTCCCCTGCCTCTGATTGGCTGGAGAATTTAAAGATCCGGCCGCTGATAGGGTGGTTCCTTCTCCCTAGCATTTGAAAGTTCCTAGTTTCCGAGCTGCGCTAGCCGGCCGGTTCAGCTTTGTGTCTTCCGAGTGCTGGTGCAAGTGAGTGTCCACCACATCCCACGGCGGGGGAGGGGGGAGGGGCAGAGACCCTGCTTCTTCAAGGAGGCTGCCGGGAGGGTGCTGACAAGTGGGCCAGACGGAGGGAGTACGGATTCCCGTGCAGCAGGGTCTCCCACCTCCGCCCCCACCCCACCTCCACCCGCACGCCCACTTTGCAGATGGGAAACACTTGAGCTGTTGCTCTTACCAGCGGCTGTAGGCTTTTCCAGCCTCTCCCCACTTCTGTACACCGGGTATAGTGAGATCTGCCTGTATAGTGAGATCTGCCTGGTTGCATTATAAACCAGGGACGACTGAGGCCGCCTGTAACCTGTCAGTCCCTTGTCTGTCTACCCACGTGAGATTTTCCTGCTTCTTGGGGAATTCTCAAGTTCTCCCTGGGTCTTTTGGAAGCAGACGTGCCTGACAGCCGAGGTTCTCCCATAACTGGGTACATTTGACACTACTCATCAGCCGCTCTGGAAACTACATTTCTAAGTGAATTTTTGGTTGATCCCATGACTCTTTTACAATGTCTTTGTATTACCAGTGACAGCATCTGTGACACTATGTGGTCTTGACCGAGTCCCCGACACGGCCTTTAATCCACCCATTATGTCCTCTTAGTCCCGTGATCCGGGCTCCTTGGAAGACCTGGGAAGTAGTGGCGATGCTGCCAGGCACCGAGGCAGCCGCAGTGGAATGTGAGGACTCGGAGCTGCGGTGCCGCGTGGCAGTGGAGGAGCTGAGCCCCGGCGGGCAGCCGAGAAGGCGCCAGTCACTGCGCACCGCGGAGCTGAGCCTGGGTCGTAACGAGCGCCGGGAGTTGATGCTGCGTCTGCAGGGGTCAGGGTCTGCCGGGCGCCCCCACTGCTTTCCCCTGCGCGCCGCTCGCCTTTTCACGCGCTTCGCCTCTGCGGGGCGCAGCACGCTGCGGCTCCCCGCCAACGATGCTCCCCGACCTGGCACGGTGCAGCTGCTGCTCTCTGATTGTCCCCCGGACCGTCTGCGCCGTTTTCTCCGCACACTGCGTCTCAAGCTCGCCGGGGATCCAGGACCTGGACCAGCCTCTGCCCGCTCGCAACTGCTCGGCCCGCGGCCCCGCGACTTCATCACCATCAGCCCAGTGCAGCCAGAGGAGGTGCGGCGCGCTGCAGCTACCAGGGTCCCAGACGCCTTGCGGGTGAAGCAGGCCACCGAGCCTCGGGCAGGGCCCAGCCCCAGCACGGTGAGGACAGTAAAAGGAGGACGATTTGAGGGGTGGCGGTGCCACTTTGATGGAAGATTGAGAAGGCTCACGTTTGGAGGAAGATGGTGGTAGTATTTGAGGGGACTGTTGGTTACATCAGAGGAGATGCCCATTGGATATTCGAGTAGGGCAGGGTTATGGGAATTGCTTTTGTGTTTCGCCTGGTGCCAATCCCTAAGACTGAGTAAAGAGAACAGAAAAGGGGGCCACATTAAAAGAGAAAGCAGAGGGGTCTTCCTTGGTGGCACAACGTGTTAAAGTGCTGCACTCCGAAGCTGGCCACAGCCACTTCAGTTGAGTTAGATCCCCCGCCAGGGAGGTGACCCACCTGTGCAGCAGACTTCTCCTGTCTCCCTGGCTGCTCCCCTCAGCAGTGTACTTAGTTGATCTGCCTGTTCTGCTCCCCACTCTGTCTCTGGTGATCCTCTCACCGCCCCTGCACCAGCCTCTGGCCTGTACCCCAGTTCTGTATGCACAAATAAATCTTTAAAAGAGAGAGAGAGAGAGCAAAAGCAGAGGAGGCAGTGTGAAAGGAGAATTGAGAAAGAAAAGTTAACCTGTAGTGAGCCTGGAGGAGAGAAGCTTTTGGAGAGAATTAAATGATCAACTGATGGCTGGGAGAGCCATCAGGTCTGATCCAAAAGAGGGACAGTGATTAAAGAGAAAATGGTGAGAAAATGGAGATGGGGCAAGAAGAGGTCTTGGCTTGCAGGGTTTTGCTAGTCAAGGTGAGAGAAACAGGGTTATGGCAGCAAGAGAAATTAGAAGCAAATTTGGGTGAGAGGACCAGAAAAGCTGGGAACCCAGAAGGAAGCAGATGGAGGGCCCAGACCCCCACACTGGGTGCTCAGGGCATCAGGGATCAGTAGAGACACAGCCTTGACCCCTTCCTCAGAGAGAGTCCTCCAACAGTTACTGGCATCTCCAGGTCGGCCAAGGAGCAAAGATGGCAGAGTCAGTAAGGGCTACCGGGCACGTAGGCTGAGAGAGGGAGGGGGACTCGACACAGTCCTGTCCTTCCAGGAAGCCCCAAAGTGGCCACTGCCCGTGAAGAAGCTGAGCCTGCCCCTCCCCAAACCACAGCTTTCTGAGGAACAGGCCGCTGTGCTGAGGGTCGTCCTGAAAGGCCAGAGCATTTTCTTCACTGGGAGTGCAGGTAGTAGGGGGCAGAGTGTGGGTTGGTGAAAGAGTAGTGGGGTGGGATAGAGGACAGGAGGCCTTAATTTTCCCCTCTATCCAGGAACAGGGAAGTCTTATCTTCTGAAGCGTATCCTGGGTTCACTGCCTCCCACAGGCACTGTGGCTACTGCGAGCACTGGGGTAGCAGCCTGCCACATAGGGGGTACCACCCTCCATGCCTTTGCAGGTAAGTGGGAGCACCCCGTGCTTGAGCTGGAATCTGGTGCTTGGGCCTGTGGTGGGGGTTTGGGGGAAAGGAGAGGTTGAGCCTGGGGCCTCAGTCCAGGCTGAACTGTATCTCTCACAGGCATTGGCTCTGGCCAGGCTCCCCTGGCCCAGTGTGTAGCTCTGGCCCAGCGGCCAGGTGTGCGGCAGGGCTGGCTGAACTGCCAACGGCTTGTCATTGATGAGATCTCTATGGTGGAGGCAGACCTATTTGACAAACTGGAGGCTGTGGCCAGGTCAGTATTTGGGGTGAGGGATAGATTCTGGTGGCCTTCCATGTAGAACCCTCCCAAACAGTTCCAAAAGCACTCATGTTCACTTCTAGAGCCGTCCGACAGCAGAATAAGCCATTCGGAGGGATCCAGCTCATCATCTGTGGGGACTTCTTGCAACTGCCACCTGTTACCAAAGGCTCCAAGCCCCCACAGTTCTGCTTCCAGGTACCACTCACCTTCTGACCCCACCCCACCCCCAGAAGTCAGCTCTGCTCCCTGACATCCCCACCCTGTCTTCATTAGGCCAAGAGCTGGAGGAAGTGTGTCCCAGTGACCCTGGAGCTGACAGAAGTGTGGAGACAGGCAGACCAGACTTTCATCTCTCTGCTTCAGGCTGTGAGGCTGGGCAGGTGGGCCTTGATGAATATAGAAAGGGCCATGGAGCCAAGTGTGGGTCAGACAGGAGCATAGGGACCCAGGGAAGGGGGAGGGGAATGCCTGTGGGAGCATGCAGTCTCCACAGGAAGTGGTGACTTGGGCCGCCTATGGGGCAGTCCAGGACAGACTGGGGTCAAGAGTACCATGGCCATAGGGAACCCTCTGAGTCTGAGACCTAGCCTTCCCCAGGGTTGGGTCTCTAAACCCCAGCACTGGGCCTGGAATAGAGTAGGAGTTAAGGAAGAATGGATAGGTTGGAGACATAAGGACACACAGAAATATATATATATATATATATATATATTTTTTTCTTTTTAAAGATTTATCTATTTGTGCATACAGAACTGGGGTACAGGCCAGATGTTCAGGGGTGGCGAGAGGCTTTACCAGAGACAGAGTGGGGAGCAGAACAGGCAGATTGATGAAGTACACTGCTGAGTGGAGCAGTGGGCGGTCTGCCACGCCATGTGGTCACCTCCAGGGCAGGCAGGAATTGAACTCATGCTGAAGTGGCTTTAGCTTCTTAGTGCTGTGCTTTAACCCACTATACCACCAGGGAGGGCCGAAATACTAATACTAATTCACAGATGCAGAAACTGGAATTTAAAGAGTTGACATGACTTACCCAAAGTCATGGCTAGTGAGTGGCCAAGCTGGGATTTGATGCAGATCTGGCTCTAAAAATCCAAGTTCCTTCCACTCTTGAGACCATAGGATAGGGAAGGCACCTGATCCCACTCCAGCCAGGACAAAAGGTTGAAATGTTAAGACTACTCTAATGTGGGAGTAGAGAGGAGACTAGAGGGAGGACTAAAGACATGGGCCAGAGTAGCCTGGAAGCCAGGTCAGATTGAGATAGGATATGGGGAGGGGCCAGGGACCCCAGGCACAGGCACAAGAGGCAGGTAGGGGACCCAGTCCCCTGTCCATACCAGCATGCATGGGGAACAAGAGGAAGTCTGAGTGGCAGAGCAGGGAGAGGTGGCCCCAACTTGTTTCCCTCCCTCACACCAGAGCAGCTGCCTCACCCAGGCTTCCCCATGGGAAGAAGGTTTGAGGTAAGGGAAAATAGTTATAAGGTGTTAGTGTTATAGAGTACCTTGTTTAGGTCCTCTCAACCTCTGGCCTTTGTTCACTTATGGTCTCTGACTTCCTCAGGTACCTGAAGGTGGGAGAGTGATTAGCTCCTACCTGGGGGCAGCACAAGGAATGCTGGCTGCCCATGATTACAGCCAAGCACTGACCCCTGCCTCTCTGGCCCCTTGCTCATTCCCCAGTCTGGACTCCAAGTTGGCCAGTCTGGGGGTCAGCAAGTCTTGCCTTTTCCAATCCCCAGGCCTGACCCACGGCCTATTTCTTGGGCCATATTGCTTACCTCCTCCACCTCTCCTGGGGTTCAGATAGGCTCTGCTCCGACAGCCCATACCATACCCCACAGGTGCTCAGATGAGGTGACCCGTCAGCTCCAGGCCACAGCTGCTCACAAGGTAGGGCGAGATGGGATTGTGGCCACCAGACTGTGCACCCACCAAGACGATGTGGCCCTTACCAACGAGAGGCAGCTACAGGAGCTGCCAGGTGAGTAGGAAGCCTGGGCTGGGAGGGGCCATTAGGCAGATGTGGCCCTCAGGCATCCTGGAGTCAACTGTTTATCTGGGTCCCAACTTCCATGACCATAAGGGCCCTTACATTTGCAGATATAACTGTGACTTTGAGAGGTATGATTTGGACTACGTCAAGTTCACTCAGTCAGTAAACACTGAAGTGAGATTTGGATCCAGGTCTCTGATTCCAAATTCCCCACTAGGTCTCAGCTATCACCACTGCCCCCACCCATGCCCTAGTCTAATATGTATTCTCAGAAATTTAGTCACAAGTCAATGACTTGTAATTTGTCTGCCCATCTCTCTTTTCCCAGGTGAGATACACAGTTTTGAAGCCATGGACAGTGACCCTGAGCAAGCCCGCACCCTAGATGCCCAGTGTCCTGTTAGCCAACTCCTTCAGTTAAAGCTGGGTGCCCAGGTGAGTGGGAGTAGGGCCTAGATCCTGCGAGCTTGGATCTCCCTGGGCCTCACCCCTCTCTCCAGGCTGCATCACAGCTGGAGGCCCCCCCCACCCCCACCTTCTTGCTTCAGCTTTCCACTGCTCTCCTCTGCCTATGCCTGGAGCACCCAGCAGTCTTACTTTGGGTAGTGTTTTTCTCTCACCGAAGCTCAGTTTCCTTGGCTGTTTGGTGTACCCTGTAATGAGAGAGTCCTGCTTCCTTCCATACAATCGGGGGTGGGCCAAAAGGGACATTTTCCCTGGGTTTCAAGGGACATCCCAGGAGAAATACTGGCACATTGTGGTTGGAAGAGGGAATGGCAGTCCCTGGGGACTGGGCTTCAAGATTGTGGTCCACTCACATACCCCACAGCACATGTGATGATGATGATTTTCAGAACCCTGTGATATTTGCTACCTTATTATTTTTTCCGAGGCACACTGAACACGTGTCACTTACTTTTGACTTGAGAGGAAACTGGGAAAATAAAAGTTTGCCACAGGCGTCATAGTGAGTAGTGGCTAAGCTAAGGATTAGGATTCAGTGCCCCTTCATGACAGCGCCCAGCCTCCAAGAATCATCACAGAGAATTCTGGAGCTGAGGCCAGGTGGAGAAAGGAGATGCTGCTCTCCAGACCTCAGGGCTCTTTCCCTTGCAGGTGATGCTGGTGAAGAACTTAGCTGTGTCCCGAGGTCTGGTGAATGGTGCCCGAGGGGTAGTGGTCGGTTTTGAGAAGCAAGGGAGAGGTAAATGGAGGGTTGAGGGAGGGAGGGTGGCCGAACAGTTCTGCTCTTTGCAGCAGAGTCCCAGGTGTCAGGAGGAAAAGGCAAGGATGGCAAGATGAGTTATGCTCCTCACCTCTGAGCCCCGAAGCAGAGCTGAAAAGTCGGACTTCTCCACACCTCCCTCAGGGCTGCCCCAGGTACGGTTCCTTTGTGGAGTCACCGAAGTCATCTGTGCTGACCGCTGGACAGTACAGGCCTCTGGGGGCCAGCTCCTCACCCGGCAGCAGCTGCCCCTCCAACTCGCCTGGGCAATATCCATCCACAAGAGCCAGGTGAGCAGCTGGTACATGGGATGGGGGCAGAGCAGGGCAGAGAGGGACAGCATAGCACGCCTGGGCATGTGGGTGGGTGGGAGCTTAAAGGCTTATGGGGTTGAACTTGTCTAAATAGAAATTTCCAGACCAGAAGTAGAATAAACACTTTCCAAAGTGCATTTCCCTGCCATTTCCTCTCTCTTAACCCAGACGCTTACACTTCCTCTCTGTCTTCTCCAGTCCTGCCATTCTCTGAGCCACTACCCAATGTGTTAAATGTAATTCTTAGATCCACTGCCTGAGGGGTAGGTGTGTTAATCAATCCTGTTCTAGAGAAGAGGAAACAAAGAGTCAGAGAGGTTAAGTAATTTGTTGACAGTCACACAGCTAGTTGAGAGAACTGGAATTTATTTCCATGTCTGTCGACCCAGAACCTGAGCTCTTTCCTTTCTCTTCTATCCTCTGCTCTTATCCTGGATCTGTCTCCTGGCTTACACATCTGTTGTCAATCTGTTTTCTGCCTGGAGACTTTCTGTACCAAGGAGGAGATTCAGGGACAGTAACTGGTTGGTACAGGTGGGGTTAGGCTCTTGGGCATAAAGGACTTCAGAGTGATCTGCCTCCAACTCTGTCCCTCAATCCCCCAGGGCATGTCTCTAGATTGTGTAGAGATCTCTCTGGGCCGTGTGTTTGCCAGTGGCCAGGCCTATGTGGCTCTTTCCCGGGCCCGAAGCCTGCAGGGCCTGCGTGTGCTGGACTTTGACCCCATGGTAGTTCACTGTGACCCCCGTGTGCTACGCTTCTATGCCACCCTAAGGCAGGATAGGGGCCTCAGTCTGGTAAGAGGGAGTTACCCAAAGTAGACCACATGGCTATGGGCAATCTGGTACAAAGGAACCCACTGGGAAGGGTGGTAGAACCTTCTCTGGTTCTGTTGGGAGCAGGGGTAAGAGGAAGGAGATTCCCCCAGGCTACAGCCCTGGGAGACAGCACAGGCCCTTCACTTGGCTTCTCTACCTGATCCAGGAGTCCCCAAATGATGATGAAGCAGCCTCAGACCAGGAGAACATGGACCCAAACCTATGAGATGAAAGGAGAAAACGAAGGGCGGTCTCCCCTGCTTCCTGCAGGACAGGACCTCGGGGGAACAACTGGGAGAGGAAAGTCGGTGTCCCTTCTCCTTCTATTAGGGGAGAGAAGCTTCCTGCAGGAAGAGCTTGACATCCACTTGCCAGCCGTGCCTCAGTTTCTACCCTTCCCCTGGAGAAGCTGCTTCCAGGAACAGGAGAAGCCTTTACGGTGCCAGTTAGGAATAGGTCTGTGGTGGCACAGGACAAAGCTCTTTGCCAGTGCTGGCCATTGGGTCACAAGATCATGAATGCCTCAATGCTGAGGGGAGAGGCAGTAAAGAGGGCTGCTCCAGGGGTAGGAACAGGCTATTGGGGTCCTGGAAGGGGCTCAGGCCAAAAACAGGCCCCAAACAGACAGAGAGGGGAATCTGGACCCAGCTAAGCTCTGCCTAGCACGAGCCAGGACACTCTCCTGATCCTAAACTGAGAATGTGGACTGCAGACCAGCGCCCAGATCTGAAGTAACCCAGATCTGAAGTTGCCTTTTCAGGGAAGAAACAATGGTGTGTGTGTGTGTGTGTGTGTGTGTGTGTGTGTACACAATGAATTGTATTTATTTAGGACAAATAAACATGTGAATTATGTGAAGAATATGAGTCTGCTCTCATTAAGTAGGCCTCCTGCCTGGCACATCAGCTGTACCTGGAGCAGGGAGTCTGCCATGCATTTGTACACAGAGGTGTTTGCTTACACCACAGATGGCTGGGCTCATGGCACCCTTAGGTGAGGTTTTGTTAGTATCACTGGTTGCTTGGAAAGCTAAGTTTGCTGAGGTGGGTGGCTGGCCATGAAACCACAGGTGAATCATTGTCACCCAGTAGTCAGACAAGGTCATACTAGAGATTTCACATGGGAGTTAGAACGGCCTGTCACAACATCCTAAAAGGGCTGGCAGCCAAGCTGGAAACTCTCACTTTGGGCCTTGCTGGGGGCTCCGACAGATGGAAAACAATCATCAAACAAACGAGCTTCATTGATTAGAATGCTTATTGGAAAATGCTCAGGGCCCTCCTAGGCAGGCTAAAATTGTTAAGATTCTTTGCCCATGTATTTATCTGGCTGATAAATACAAAGTTAATGGAAACAGTCATTGGCAGCTGCAGAGAGCAATTGAATGTGAAATCAAGAGTGAGAGACATGGGGAATAATAAAACCAGGCTGTTTGCTGAGGGAATGAAATCTGGGAGCTTGAAGGCATTTATCCTGTTTTCCAAAAGCCAACAGAGACTCCAGAGTGAGTGCTGGGGGGATGGAGGTTAAAATAGTCAAGAAGGCTGACACCAGGTCAATGATATGCTGGTTTGGGGGGTTACAGGGCTTCTAAGAGGAGTAGGAGCTGAGCCTTCCCTGGCAGCACAGCGGTTAAAGCACAGCACTGTGAAGCTAGCTGAGTCCACTTCAGTGCGAGTTCGATCCCCGCCCCAGAGGTGATCCACATGACGTGTCAGACTTCTCCTGACCTGCCTGCTGCTCCCCTCAGCAGTGGACTTCGTCAGTCGGCCTGTTCTGCTCCCCACTCTGTCTCAGGTGAATTTTCCACTGCCCCTGCACCTCTAGCCTGTACGCCAGTACTATATGCATAAATAAATAAGTCTTTAAAAAAAAAATGAGGAGTAGAGCTACAGACTGTGGACAATCAGACTCATGGTTACAGCTCTGAAGATGGACCTACCTCTCCATCCTGATTTTGTCCCTTGCTCTTTAATTGTTGTTACTGGCATACCACCCCTTTCTTAAAATTATGAAAGAGAAATTATATCAGCACCTAATCCAATTACCACGGAAGATCCCACAGGCACAAAATTTTGAGACATTCTGATTAGAGTTTTCTGTAAAGTACATCCTTTCCACGGTGTGGACACATCATTCTTATTTAAAAAGGCTACTTACTGCTCAGACATTCCCACCATCAACTATTTAAACAATTTATGTACAACTCACTCCCTTTTATAACTGTATAAATTCTACCAAAACCACATGTTTTGCAAAGATTCTTTCGACACCTATTACAGGAATTAGCCTGATCATTTTCTACTTGGAGAGTGACTTCAGGCCTGTCACACAGCCTGGTGAGGGTTTCCTTACCTATAAAGCAAAGATGTTGATGTTAACCCTTTCACGTAGGGTTGTTGGGAGAAAAGAGCACCTTCAACAGCTGTCATTCAAGCTACATTGGCGAATGATGAGCACTGCCCATTCCTATCTGCTCCTTTGGCAAGATGTAGAGGCTTGAGGGACAATGGCCTGGCCCCTGAAGGACCCAGCTGAGTCTTGCTGCCAGACTTCCTAACCATGAGGAGTTGTCTATTTTCTGTGGTATTAACCCTTTTCTCTGCTCCTCACAGAGGACACTCGCAAGAGCAGAAGCCAAGTACTTCCCATCCTATTCCCCAACAAAAGGGCAACCATGGAGGCCTTTAAATTTGCCACTCCATGGTCAAGATGTTCTGCCCAAAGCACACAGCCTTCCTCCCAGATCCAGCTGTGTGCAGGTCACAGCAGTCATTGCCCTCAGGGGACTTACAGTTATTGCACTTTGCACTCTGTGTAACACGGTTGAGGACCCCATCCAATCCAGCACCCAGGGCATTGTCTTGTGTTATTTAGCAGCTCTGCATCCTTTGGGGTTCTTGGCTGGAAACAGGAGAACCTGACTTAGAATAACATAAGGATGGGCCTTCCCTGGTGGCGCAGTGGGTTAGGTCACAGCACTGTAAGCTAGAGGCAGCTGCTTCAGTGTGAGTTTGGTCCCTGGCCCCAGAGGTGATCCACATGGCGCAGCAGACCTCTCCTGACCTGCCCACTGCTCCCCTCAGCAGTGTACTTCGTTGATCTGCCTGTTCTGCTTCCCACTCTATATCTGGTGAATCCTCTCATAGCCCCTGCACCTCTGGCCTGTACCCCAGTTCTGTATGCATAAATAAATAAAACAAATCTTTGAAAAAAAAAAGAATAAGGATGAAAGAAAGATATTGGAAGCCTAGCATACAGAACTGCTTTGATACCCAGAAACAGATGGGAACTGGGGTGTCTAGAACCACTGACAAGAGTAGAGCTGAGGGCAAGCCCTGTGACCACCCCCACCTGGGCATCAAGCATAACCACCAGGGAGGGACTTCTGCACTCCTGCCTCCCCTCATGTTGAGTCCAGACACTAAAGGTGGATATGTGACTAGGTACGTCTGTCCTCTCACACAGGTGCTAAGGTCACTGGCAAAAGGCTAAAGGTGGCACCAAGGGACAAGAGAGACAAGGCTTCTGCCAGGAAATAAGTCCCCCATTACCCCCCAGAACCAGACTATTGAGGATGTCTGGGCGTCCTTCCTGGGACTCTCTTTGGGGAGCCTATAGTGAGCTATAGGCTATGAACAAGCAGCAAATAACAATAGCATCTCAAATTGTGAAAAGGGCTCAATGATCAAAATAAATAAATAGAGAATAGCTGCAGGTTGAGTGGCCAGGAGAGGGCTGGTAGGCATACCCTCACCCTTCCTGAGGGGCTTGGTTACTTTTTTCTAGTCTGAAATGTCCAGATTACCCCTTGTGACTGTTTTCCAGCACTTAGCTCTACTCCCTTGCCTCTCCCTAGGCAGAAAGATCCATTCCTGCTTCTGTCACATACATTGTGTTGTCTTTTACTGTGAGTCTGTGTCCTGTGCCAAAATGTTTCCCAGAACAGGATTGAGACCCTTCCTCTTATACCCCAGTGCTCAGCCCAGTGGTAAGGATGTCCCCCTGTTCCCTCCATTCTCCAGAACGACTAGAAATGAATGTGTCAGTGGACATGTTGAGAAAGGCATTTAAGAAAAAGGAAGTGTGTGTGGCCTCCCTGGAGCAAGGGGTTAGGTTTCAGCACTATGAAGCTCTGCACAGCCACTGCAGCCAGAGTTTGATCCAGCTGGGGAGCTGACCCACATGGTGCGGCAGACCTCTTCTGACCCACCCACTGCACCCCTCAGCAGTGTATTTCAGTCAGTCTGCCTGTTTTGCTCCCCACTCTGTCTCTAGTGGATCCTCTTACCCCCTGCATCTCAGGCCTGTACCTCAGCTCTTGAATGGATACATAAATAAAATAAATTAAAAAAAAAAAAGAAAAAGGAAGTGTATAGGATAAAAGTGTAAAAAACAAAGCACAACGGTCCACTTGAAATCAGGAAAAAGTGGGTGTTGAGGGTGGCAGGCCTATCCCTGAGGAGATTGGGCCTGTGGAAGGGGGTTCAGTGCAGGGGGAGTCCCACTTCCAGCTGGCTCCCATTTGTCTCCTTGCCTCCATGCTTCCTCCTCAGCACCAGATGTGATTGTCCTCTGGGTATAATTACAACTGATAAATCTACCACCCCCAGAATGAGGTGGACCCCTTGGAAGCAAGAGAGCCAGTTTAGAAGTTTTTGTGTCCCCCAGTACACAGGCTGAAGATTTCAGAGAGGAGACGCTCCCTAAATGTTTGAGAAATGAAAGAACAGTTCTAAGAGGTAGAAATGTTGAAGCTGATTTTGCAAAGGAGGTCCCCAAGACAATGACGGAACTGGAACTAGAACCCTGTGCCCCCCTTAGCCTTCATGGAGCTATCAGAGTGAGATGGGACTTTGGGGGGCTGAGATGGACTGGTGGGGTATCACCTTCACCCTGCCCTAGGTTGAGTGGCCAGGAGAGGGCTTAGCTGGTAGGCATGCCCTCACTCTTCCTGAGGGGCTGGCATATATATTTTTAAAGATATATTTATTTATGCACACAAGAACTGGGGTACAAGCCCGAGATACAGGGGGCGTGGTAAGAGGATTCACCAGAGGCAGAGTGGGGAGCAGAACAGGCAGGTCCACTGAAACACACCACTGAGGGGCGCAGCCAGGA